TGTTAACCCGTTCTTTGGCGAGTGATGTTTTCACGTTGTCCTTCTGATCCGGTGTGGGCACCAGGAACAGGGGAGCGTGTTGCTGGGGTGGCGTGTTTAAAGCATGGAAGTACTGGGAATGCATCTTTTACTTCACTAGACCTGGCCAGGTTGAATCTCTTGCTATCCGTGCTTGGAAACATTGGAGCTCGGTTCTTTGGGAGTTTTGCTACACTGAGTTTCCTCCAGTGCAGAGCTGCTACAGACTCGACACGGAGACACAGGGTCTCATTCCTCGTGTCTGCAGTGCTGCTTTTGTCTTTAGGAAACGTCTTGAGAATTAAATTAAGAAAGTTCAAGAGTCGTAACAATGCTTTGCCACGAAGGTTGAAAAGAAGCCGGAGAGAACAGGCAAGTATATTTATCTAGGAGCTGTGAGGAAGGGGAAGAGGAGGGATGATTCTTGTACCAGTTTTCTTCTTCCTGAGTGTTTTCCTTTGAGCACGGTGCTTCCCTCAGTTCTCTTCAGTGGCTGAAGTTAAGCATGAAAAGATTTCCATTTCTTCAAACACTGTCCTCCTGCTGGTCTCTGAACCAGAAAGGAAGATACTGAAGTGCTTTGCCTCACACCAAGAAAGCAGTGCAGCTTTAGTAGGGGGAAAACTGTGGGTGCAAAGGAGTTAGCGATGTAGAAAGGAATGGAGGAAGAATAAGAAGGAAAAAAACACGGCGTTTGGTGGCGAGAAGATTGGATGTGCATGAAGACTCGTCAGAAGAGTTTGTGCTTGCTTGAACTTGAGTTACTGTGCTTGGCTCGGTGTTTGCTCTCCTACTGGTTTAGAAACGCTGTGGTGGAGGCTTTGAGGGGGAGGAAGGAAAGGTGGCTGGTACAGATTTTCCAGACGATGAGGTGCAAACACCGAGTTTTCTTCGTGTTTGGAATTTTTAGAGGATTGCACAGCTTTTTTGTGACAGGCATAGGTGAAGTACATACGTTCAGAAAACAGTCCCAAACAGTTTTCTACAAGTCTCTGCTGATTATGTGAGCATGCCAGGAGTGTAGGGATCATCTTCACAGCAGAGGGAACTGCTGTGCGACCACGTGTATTTTCCACCATCAGTGCTTCCCTGTTTAACCACCTCGTGGCTATCAGAATAAAGTAAGGATCCTTAGTGACAACACACAATTTATCTTTTATGGCAACAGAGCCAAGGTGTGTCCCTCTCCTCAGCTGTCTGGTGCCTGAATTCATTATGGAAGGACCTCTCTGCTCCGCTGCGGAGATCACATCTGCCCAGTTGCTCACCCAGCTTACCCAGCTGAGGCGAGTGGAAGGGTCGTGTTTGTGGTGTGCTTCCTGGGTGCCTGTGGCTGTCAGTCTCCCATCCACTGAGTGTCCCATATGGAAAAACGTAGGTGGTGCTATCCCTTCCAGAGCTGGTGTGAGGATAACGTTGCACGTTGAGGTGCATGCATTGCAGTCGGGCTGAGCCATGTGTGACCGGAGAGAAAGGTGTGTGTTATCCTCACGCACCAATGCCATGGAAATGCCTAGGGAGATAAATAATTAGCTGAGAAGGCAGGACAGAGGAGGAGGAGTGGTTTAGAAGGGTTACACCCTCTAAAAGGAGGGATGGAGGGAGGTCAAAGCCATCCTTCCCCCTAAAGGGGAAGCAAGAAAGCTCCTGAAGATGGCTTTGTCCTGCACTGCACTTCAAACGCTACAAAATTATGGGAATCGTGGAGTACCCAAAAGTCTGGAGTGCTTCCCCTGCCAGACCCCAACCCATCTCCTGTCTCGTGGGGCACAGAGCTTACCCCCTCATCGCGGCCGTCCCTGGCACAAGCAGGATTTTTTTTTTTAATGACCTTCAGCAATGTGGTGTTGGAAGTGTGTGCCAAAACCAGTACTGTTCAATAAAGCAACCGTGGTTATGTTCCCAAGTGTACTTCCACTTTTTTTTTAATAAATTTAAACGTGCATCCCAACGTGGTGGGTGAACAGATGTCTCGGGAAGGGCACCGTGTGTTTGGGTAGTGCTTGGTGCCACGGCAGGGGGTTGGAACTGGGTGATCTTCGAGGTCCCCTCCAACCCAAACCAGTCTGTGATCTCTTTTTGGGAATTTGAACGCTGTCACAGGACAAATGCCTTGTTTGACATGGTTAAATTACATAAAAAGAAATTTATTTTTCCATCAGATTGTCACCTACCTGGGGCAGAGTGCCTGCCCTTCGCTGCCCTCTTCTCGAGGGGCAAAGGGTGTCTGGAGGGTGTCTTGTCCTTGCTATGTTTCATTTCAGAATCTGAGAATTATTTGGGTGTTTTACGTTACACGGTACTTAGTCGTGAAAAGTCGAGGTACGTCTCACAGTAAGAAAAAGCAAATGAATTTTAAAGGGAAAAGGAGAAATTCAGGAGGAAACGAAACTGCCTAAAATAACATGGATGTTTTTAGAAAGACCGAGGGAAAGTGTGTTGTGTAGGAATGAGGAAGTGGAAACTGGAATATTTATTTTTTTTAGTGGGACTGTCAGGGTGGTGGTGTCTGACTGCCAGCACAGCACAGGCCATGCAAGTGTTCTGAGCCACTGGGATAAATTTTTTTTTTTTTTTTTTTTTTGTAGAGACTGAATGAGAGCTTTTGAGTTCAGCTGCAGATGGTAGAAACCTTCCCCACACATACACAAACTAAATACCACACAAATAGTTACTGCTCAGTCGAAACTTGCTCAGCTGCAGCTTTATCCCGTTCCGCTTTCCGTTCTTGCCGAGCTCTCTCTGCATCGGAGTTTTTAACGTTGTACTCGGCTTCTTCCCACGTGTAGCTGACGAGATTGAGCATCTTTACAACAGGTCTGATTACAAAGTCACTGTGCCTCCAGTTGTTCCGTTTTTCTCCCGATTTATTGCCGAAGCGATCACGGAACGTTGGTCCAGTAACAGGTTTGCAGAGTGAAACGTCTCGTTGGGATTTTGGGAAACCGCTTTGGTTTGGGCAGGGAAGGAGTTCAAATTTCCAGTCCCCGTGGAAACCTGCCCAGCTAACCAGCCTCTGGAAGAGCCTTGCTGGTGCGTGCTGGACCACGGAGAGAGCATCTCTGAAGGACAGATCCCCGGAGCTGGAAAGATGAGACCAGGCGTGTGAAGGCAGAGGGAAGATGGAGGCTTTCCAGATGAGGCTGGGTGCTGGTGGAATTTCACCGTACGGGCTGTAAAACATAGAGCACGGTCTCGTTCAGGTCCTGGAGCAGAAGCCAACTCCCAGTTTTGGGTTTCTCGCAGTGCTGGAACGTGGCTGTGGCATGCAGCCATAGGAGAGCATCCCTCTGGGTTTTGTGCTGGCTCAGGGGCTTGCTCTGCCTGAGGTTTCTAGCCCTGCTGGGGAAAAGTGACTGAACCCGTGGAATTTGTGCTTTTACCGGCCTCCCTTGCTAGAAGAGAAAAAGAAATTACTTTAATCTTTTGTGAAAACTACAAAGTCAAGAATTTAGAAGTCGTGATCTTCCAGGATTAATAAACTCAGTGTAAATTTGACGTTTTGTGGGCAGTGCAGGAACAGATCCTGTTTTCCTCCGGAGGATACCTGCCTTGGCTTCTGCAGGGGAGGCTTTGGAGAGGAGTGAAGAGGAGCGTGCTGCAGTGTGACCCCTGTTTCGTTTTCTGTACAAATTGAAAGGTGTGGAGTCGACGAGGCTGGGGATTGCAGGAAGGAAAAGCTGGATTTCATCCCTGCCATGAGTTCTCTCTGTGAGCAGTGATGATTCTCAGTGTTGCATCCCCATTGTCTTACGAGATGCTTTTTCAAGCCGTAGGGATGTAATCTGGTAGTTGGCTGCTTGAACCTGCTGTGAAATCTGTCCTGCCGGACAAAGTATCAAATTCAGGAATGTGCAGACAGCCTTAATTTTGCTGCTTACCAATTTTTCAAGAATTTGATTTTGCACTGTTAACTGTCCTGGTATCTGGGTGCTTCAGGACACCTACAATCTGAGCATTCCTCGGATATTTAAATAAAAAATGGTTTTAATGATGAGTAGACACACCTTCATTTACAGTCTGTGTGTTGGAGAGGGGGTTCAGGAAGCAGTCATGCCTGTGTTGTGTTTCTGAAGAGCTTTTCCCCTCACCATTTTTAAAAAAAAAAAAAATGCAAGAAAGATTTTTAATTTTTTTTTTTCTGAGGGAGAAAAGTGACAACACCTAAGCTCGGACTTTGGGTTAATGCAGTGACACTAGATCTCAGCTTGATTAGACAGGCGCGGAAAAATGAGAATTGGTTTTCTCAGCCGTCAGTTGAGCATCTGGTGGTGCCAGGGGGGTGAGTAGCATGGTGCATTGAAAATTAATTGACTATCAACTTCCCGTTGCTCATCAGAGCCCTACAAACATACATTATTCACAACGTGTAGCATCCCTCAGGGTGCTGGACAGACCACAGTGAGGTTACGGTGCGGAAAACAGAGCAAGGAGCAGGTGACAGGGGGTAACTGCTCTTCCCCTGCTTCCCACCCTGCCTCCAACGTGCTCCTTGGCTCTGCACAAAATGTCTCCTGTCCCCTGTATGTGAAATGATGCTTTAAAATGCGCTCCCTTTTCGGTGAATTAGCGTGCGATCCGCTTTGGTTTTGACATCCTTGCATGGAAATAACCAAATGGCGTTGTTTACCAGCTGCTGTGCTGTTTTTTTTTCATTACTGAACAGAGTTCTTGGGTGGATATGCTGTATTGTAATGGCTGACTTCGTGACAAGTTTTGGTTTTCTTCTCAAATGTCAATGCAGGCCTTTCGGCGTGGCAGCAGTTTTCTGTTAACTAATATGTATTCTGGAACTGTGCTTCTGGATTAAATATGTCACGTTTTTATAGTCTGTCTCCTTTGGAGCTGACAGCAAACGCTAACGTGCACCAGGAAAGGGCACTGGGAATGGCTGGAGCGGTGTACGTGTCGCGCTCAGCTTTGTTCCTGCCGTGGCCAGAAGCCTGACTTCTCCCTGTGTCCTCCTTTCCCTGCAGGTATCGAGAACCTGCCCTTCGAACTGCAGAGGAACTTCCAGCTCATGCGAGATCTGGATCAGAGGACAGAAGGTGAGGATTGGAGATGGTTCTGTGGAGGAGACGGGAAGTGTGCAGCTCGGCCAGCTTTGCTTTGCTTTGCCTCGATCGCGGGGATCTCGGGACGGGGGAGGAAGCCTACAGCTGCTCTGATCCTTCAGCCTCTCGTGAAGGAGGGCACTGTAGCGCGTGCGTATGTACGTACCGTTGTGTATTTCATGGTGAACTTGTTTCAGACCTCAAGTCGGAGATCGACAAGTTGGCCACGGAGTACATCAGCAATGCACGGACTTTATCTTCAGAGGAAAAACTGGGGCTTCTCAAGCAAATCCAGGAGGCCTATGGGAAATGCAAGGAGTTTGGGGATGACAAAGTTCAGCTGGCTATGCAGACCTACGAGATGGTATGAAGGGAAGTGTCTAGTGCTTATTGTATGAAAGGCTGTACTGAAGCCCTCAGTCCTGGAAGGCCCTACTCTCTCTTTTTAGGACCACTCTTGCTTCTCCACGCGTAGTGCAAGCCCCATGCCCTCTCTCTGCCTCCTTGGGCTCTGTTGTGTGGTAACTCCTGGCCACTGTCATCTTTGCAGGTCGATAAGCACATCCGGCGGCTGGACACAGACCTCGCTCGCTTCGAAGCAGACCTGAAGGAGAAGCAGATAGAGTCGAGTGACTATGACAGTTCTTCCAGCAAGGGCAAGAAGAGTGAGTACCACCACTGGGCTGCAGATTGATACAGGAGGCAGCCAAGTGACTGTGGAAGTGGTGGGGATGAAGGCAGGCACTGGAGTGGTGCAGATCAAAGACTCTGTTACGCTGGAATCTGAAGGACAGGTAAAAAGATGGTGACCTGGGCTCTTCTTGTGTGAGCATATTCAAGGCTGCTAGATAAAATTAAGATGGGGTGCATGGCCCAAAGCCAGCAAACACTCCCAAGTATTTTGGTACTGGAGAGGTTGTTACTATCAGGTGTCTCCTTTGATGGGGTGGCAGATACAACAGCTTTTTCTTCTCTTACCAGAGGGCCGAGCCCAAAAAGAGAAGAAAGCTGCCCGTGCTCGCTCGAAAGGGAAGAACTCTGATGAGGAGGCACCAAAAACTGCCCAAAAGAAACTGAAGCTTGTCCGCACGTAAGTGTTCTAAGAGATTTGTGGGAATGAGGAGCATCGCTGCAAATCAGACGAAGGGAGGCCTAGCCAGGCTTCCCTGCGAAGGATCAGATCCCTGCTCAGACCAGGCGGTTCCCTCTTGGGAAACAAGAGGAAGGAGACCTTTTAATTCTTTTAGGGGAGTGTGGCAAGAAGGGGAAAGCAGGTCACTTCAGAGGAGATGGGTGTATGTGGTTAGAAAAAGAGAAGTGGCTGTCTCGGGCAAACAAGGGTTTTGTCTGGGGAGGCATGAAGGGACTGGAAGCCGGTTATTTTGCTGACCCACTTTATTCCTGTCCTGCAGTAGCACAGAGTATGGGATGCCTTCAGTCACCTTTGGAAATGTGCACCCTTCGGATGTATTGGATATGCCCGTGGACCCTAATGAGCCTACTTACTGCCTCTGCCACCAGGTCTCCTACGGGGAGATGATTGGCTGCGACAACCCAGACGTAAGAACCTGCACTTAAGGGAAACGGGGGAGAAGGGAGTGGGGAGAGTCTTGCACGGAAGGTCTTGTCCTGCTTGGGTGGGACCTGATGAAAGCCAACCATATCCTGGGCTGCATCCAGAGCAGCGTGGGCAGCAGGTCACGGGAGGGGATTCTGCCCCTCTGCTCTGCTCTCCTGAGACCCCCCTGCAGTGCTGCGTTCAGCTCTGGGGTCCCCAACACAAGAAGGACATGGAGCTGCTGGAGCGGGGCCAGAGGAGGCTACGAAGATGATGCGAGGGCTGGAGCACCTCTGCTCTGGAGACAGGCTGGGAGAGTTGGGGCTGTTCAGCCTGGAGACGAGAAGGCTCTGGGGAGACCTTCCAGTACCTGAAGGGGCTACAGGAAAGCTGGAGAGGGGCTTTAGACAAGGGTGTGTAGTGACAGGACACGGGGCAATGGCTTTATACTGAAAGAGGGGAGATTTCGATTAGATCTGAGGAAGAAATTTTTCACACTGAGGATGGGGAGGCAGTGGACCAGGTTGCCCAAAGAAGTTGTGGCTGCCCCATCCCTGGAAGTGTTCCAGGCCAGGTTGGATGAGGCTTTGAGCAACCTGGTGTAGTGGAGGGTGTCCCTGCCCATGGCAGGGGGGTTGGAACTGGATGATCTTTGAGGTCCCTTCCAACCCAAACCCTTCCATGACTCTGTGATGGCAAGCAATGACAAGAGGGCTTACCTTAGGTAGTTTGGAAGGGCAGAGAGGTGCCTTGCCAGGGCCTTTTCAGATCATCTTTCTTCAGGGTTCTCCTTAAAATGACAGGTTGTTTTCTTGCCCCCAAGAGGGGGCGAGCAAGCAAGGAGGGAGTCCTTGCTAGGTTGGGTGTGAGTCTTTATTCCCTGATCACTGCTAGGGATTTAGGAGGTTGTGATCAAACGTTGGGAAGCTTCAGTAGCCCAGAAGCAATTCCAGAAGCCAACTGCTGCTTAACTGACTGCTCTCCATCCCAACAGTGTTCCATCGAATGGTTTCATTTCGCCTGCGTGGGCCTGACAACAAAGCCAAGGGGAAAATGGTGAGTGAACAAGCAACCTGGAGGCCCATTCCTCCTTGGGAAGGGGAGGTCCTGGGTGGCAGAAGGGAAGGTGCTGAATACACCCACTTAGAAGACCTCCTAAAAAAGGAAAATTGGAGTTGAGGCTTTGTCTGGGCCCTTGGAAGAGGTACTTTGGGACTGTGTTCACCGTTCGTTTCATGCCATAAACGCTGGCTTTTTACTTCCCTTTCTGCCAGGTTCTGCCCTCGCTGTTCCCAGGAGAGGAAGAAGAAGTAAAATCCCGTGAGCCCTCAGTACTGCTGCAGGAGCTCTCCTCCCCCTGCCAGGGCCTCGTCCCAGCTCCCCCAGCCCCTGGGGCCTTGGCTGAGGGGAGCCTTGCCCTGTTTGTGGTCTGGGCCATCCCTGGAATGGTGTGTACCCTCACAGCGGTTCCTGTGTGGTCTGTATCCCTGGCTGCTCCCGAATCCCTAAGGGAGGCCCTCTCTGTGTACCATTCCAAACAGGTCTCTGAACCTCAAAGGGAATGAATGAGGGCACCAGGGTAGCCACCAGATTCCCAGGGATTCAGGTAGCCCCTGATTTTCCTTGGCTTTCCTTCAGCCTCCTCAGAGTTCATTGCCTACTCTCTGCTTAGAGAACAAGGCTATGGGATGGGGGAAGGAAAGGAGGTAAGTCTTGAGCATTTTAGGTCTTTCCTGGATGTTTTTCAGGAGAGAGGGAGTAACCAGGCCACTTGTTAACCTAGTGGGTTGGTTGAGAGACTGAAAACCTAATGTACTCCCTATTTTTAACCATTCCACTACTGGCATCGAGCAGCTTCTTTTGCTGGGGAGAGGAGGAGGAGGGAGGAGTGTTTAGAGCTAGCTTTGTCTCTCTTATTCCTGGGGTAAACCTGCCGGTCTGGGAAGCGCCCTGTGTGAAGGAGGAAGAATTTCTGACCACGTGGGGAGAAATGGCTTGATGCAGCCTGTGTTTTCTGGCTCCAAAAATTCTCCTTCCCTTCTGTGCAGCGGGGCCTTCTCCATTACGTTGATGATGGGAAGTTTGGGGGATTCAGATCCCACTTGTATAATATGGAGTTAAATAAAGTTCCTTGCAACAAATACTCCGTTTGCCTCGCTGTCGCCTCCGAAGGAAACTGCGGCAGTTGGTCTCTTTAGTTCATTCTCTCTCTCTCTCAGCTCTGCTTTTATTCTCAGTGATGACTCTGGTAGAGCTTCTTCAGGGAACAATCCTGAGCAGCGTTGGTGAGTGATGTTCTGCCTAAGCCTGCGTGAAAACGTGCCTGGTGCACTTTCCAAAGATGACTGAGCTTCCTAGTGGCTGTGAAAAACATCCGCCCCTTCAGTTGTGCCCCACAAGAGGGTGGACGTTCATTCCTGGTTTTGTCGGATCTTTTACTTCATCAGTTGTCTCCTCTCAGATGAGGAGAGATGGAGGTTGTAGAGCAGCAGGACAAACCACGTGCATCCAAGAACGTGGATAGGTTTTCCAGATATCCTGATAACTTGCTCCTCAGTAGGTCACTTTGGACCACCTCATTGCCAGAAACTCCAGCTGTTGCTCCTAGTGTTGGGCTCCAGAACAATTACTGGTGGTGTGTCTTTGCAGTGTCTGCGGGTGACTGGGAGGACATGATCCTGGCTGAAGCTCCCCTTTATCCGTTCCATTGGCATGGCCTGGAGATGGATGAGCTTGAGTCTCTTCCTGCTTGTTCTCTGCTATTCAGGAGGGTTTAAGCTTTTCACCTGGAACATGAAACATTTTCCTCACATAGGTAACTTGGATGAAGATCAACAGAGTGCTCTTGTTCTTGTAGTTGTGAAGCCAAAGCTCTTCTAAGGGTTCGTTATTAAAACCATTCAGAGGACTGTGTAGGTGGAGAGCGGTGCTGCTCCCCCTTGTAATCGCACGAGGACCCTGCCAAAGCCATCAACTCGGAAGCTGGTGTCTTCTCAGAAGTCTTCTGTTCAGGGGAGTCAGCGCTGAGCTTTGCTTTTGCTTCACAAAGGGGTTCTTGTGTTCCCATTTTGCGCAGGAAAAAGAAAGAGAGGGAAGTTCTTAACCAGACTGTGGCTCGTACGGTTTGTGGCACCGCTGCCACAGTCTGGATCTCGATCCCCTGATGATCTTAAACCATTTTCCCGGGTCTTCCCTCCTTAAACAGGAGGTAAGTCCTGGGAGATGCCCCTTGAGTGTGTGGTACAGCCTTCGTAACAGGAGCTGCTGTGCCATCATCCAGTGAGTGAGAAGGCTGTGGAAGGAGAACAGATTTCTTGAGCTGGGGTTTGTCCAGACACCAACTGGTGATCAGCTGACAAGAACAAGGGCAGGATGTGGTCTGAACTTGAAGGTCGGCTTCGGGGAAGGCACAAGGGTCCCAAAGGACACCAGCACTTCACTAAGTGGTTTGGTTTTCGTGAGAGAGGACACCAGTTGTAACAGCAGCAAGCTTTCTAGGAACGGTGGGCTAGAGAGGTGTGGGAAGCGGTGGCCCCGTAATGCTGTCAGGGTAGGACACTAAGAGGGGCAGCTAGATCCAAATACTCCTGGTTCCAGGCTAAAGCTTGGGCACTTGTCCCACTGTAGTTCTTGGGACACTGAGAATTGGAACGTTTTGATGACTTTTGGTGCAAAACACATGAGAAACCCCTGGGCCAGGTTCGGATTCAGTGCAAGAAAATGGGGAGAGCGAGGTGGGAAGCTCCACCTACCCACCATCCTGCCGTTGCGTCCTGCTCCTGTCCACCAAAGCAGCGTGGAGCATCCAGGGGACATTGGCTGCAGCTGAGGGAACGCTCCGACTTGGAGGAGAAGGGAATTTAGATGAAAATATGGACGAAACTCGAGGATTTTTGAGTGGCTTTCCAGTATAAATGCAACTGGAAGGAAGTAAAAAAACTAACCTTGGAAAAGATGATTAAGGGGAGCATCTCCCTTATGAGGAAAGGCTGAGGGAGCTGGGTCTCTCTAGCTTGGAGGAGACTGAGGGGGGACCTCAGTAATGTTGATAAATATGGAAAGGGTGACTGTCATGAGGATGGAGCCAGGCTCTTCTCAGTGGCATCCAGTGATAGGACAAGGGGAAATGGATCTAAGCTGAAACACAGGAGGTTCTGCTTAAACATGAGGAAGAACTTCTTCCCAGTAAGGGGAACAGAGCACTGGAACAGGCTGGCCAGAGAGGCTGTGGAGTCTCCTTCTCTGGAGATGTTCCACCCCCGCCTGGACGCGTTCTGGTGGCATCTGATCTAGGTGTTCCGGCTCCGGCAGGGGGATTGGACTCGATGATCCTTTGAGGTCCCTTCCAATCCCTGACATTCCGGGATGCTGTGAGAGGGAGTAAGGGCAGTGACTGTGCGACATCTGATCACGGATGGGGGGGGAAGAAAATCAGCAGAAGCTCGAAACGACAGAGCACAAAAACGAAGCCAGTGGGAACAAAGCCTGCGAGTGACGAGGCTGGAAACACAAGCAGCTTTTTTTTTTTGGAAGGCCTTTTGTTTTTGACATAATTGAGCGTGGCACGTGTCCATTAGCAACTGGGGAGAGCAGAACTGGTTGTGATGAGGAGGGGGAAGTGTGCTGTAAATATTTATCCTGCGTTGGTGCTGGTGGCGTGTGGGGATGATGTACTTCCCAGGCAAACAGGGAGGAGGGCTTTAAATAGCGGGGTTTTTTTTGATGATGATGTTTGTCGTCCTGCAAAAGCCGCCCGAAGGTGTTCTGCTTTCAGGGCTGCTCAGAAAAGCCTAAAAGGCTGGAAAAGAATCATAGAATCATAGAATGGTTTGGGTTGGAAGGGATCTCAAAGATCATCCAGTTCCAACCCCCCTGCCATGAGCAGGGACACCCTCCACTACACCAGGTTGCCCAAAGCCTCATCCAACCTGGCCTGGAACACTTCCAGGGACGGGGCAGCCAAAAAGATGCCCCATCCAAAAGAGCCAGCTCTGTGCTGGTCCGTAACAATGTCAAGGCCGCCGCTGCAGCGGTCCCGATGGGAAACATGGAAACAGCGGGGTAAGTAAATCGCTTCTCTTCAAAACAAGCGAGAAATCCGGGTCAGCCAAATAAAACTGGTTTGACTGGAAGCAGCAAAAAAAGGTTGGTCGAAAATTACTCGATTTGATTTAAAAAAAAAAAAATTGAAATCACTGTTAACAGCTACCTGTACCGCCGTGGTGGTAATGGCATCTGACAAGTTGACTTCATCTGGAATGGAAACGTTTACAAAGGGGATGTGCCAAGTTGGAGTAATCACGAGCTCCTCTAGAGAACTGGTGAGCTTGCAGATTTCCCGGCACAGCTGTCGGTGCGGCATCGACACTTTCTAAAAAGGAGCCGGAGAAATTGCCCTTCTGGAGCGACTGGAAATAACCTAGTGATTGGGAATAACGTAGTGATGACTGAAGTCAAGTCTGAGTTTCAGGAGGCTGGAGCCGTACAGCACAAGAGGGAAGACTCCAGCCAGCCTCTTCAGGCCCATTCATTAATAGTAACTGGTCACGGGCACAAGTGACCAGTTTATCTTCGCCAGGTGGGATTGCATCAGCTGTGGACGTGATTCCAAGGTAGCTGGGCAGGTGTGGTTGGTAAGGCAGAGTGCCCTTGCCAGTGTGCAGCCGTGCTTGGCAACCTCCTATCCCCTGGGCTTTGCCACCACCGTGCCCGCCACGTGGTGTGCGCAGAAACCGTGACCATCACCTTCCACCAGTGGGACCTTCTTCGTCTGTTATAAGCAGAGCAAGCAATTAAATAGCCCCATAGCTCAGCAACGTCCACCCTTGAGTTAAGGGCTCCTAAGGTGGTGGTTACCTAACTATACGCTCAGTGGGAAATCTGTTACTTTTGGAAAAGTTGTGTGAGGCTTCAGCAGATTATTTGGGCTTTAGCAGATTATTTGAGGCCCCAATCACAGAGTGTTTCGGTGGTATTCGCTTAGATTATCAGAGAAGAATTCTTATGAGATAATTACTCATACAATTATGAGACGAGAGAGAGAGAGAGATCTCTTAGAATTGGAAACACGGATTGGAAGGTACCCCTGGAGATCATCTGGTCCAGCTTCCCCTTCGAAGCAGGGCTGCTCTCAGTCCTAAATCCTAAACCTGCCCGTGCTGGGGAGCAAGATGCTCTGTAGCAGAGCAAGCCAGGATAAGAAGGAGCAGTTGTGTGGCTCCAGGTGAAAGCTGATGTTGCTGAAGATGTTAAGGCTTGATTCAAATGCTGGCCAAACCAGTCCAGAGATCTCCAGGTGGCAGAGAAAAACATTCCCAAGAGATGACTTGCTTGTACTGGCTGAAAACAAGACCGGGTCCTCTCAGGACGTTTCTCATTGTGGATATACGTTGTTGGGAAGCGGTAGCTACAGATGCCAGCGGGATTGCTCCCCGCTGGCAGAGGAGTGGATGGCACTTCCTCCGAGTCCCAGGAAGGAGGGATACCAAGGGTGTCCGGTCATTCACTTGGCCAAGTGAAGTGTCAGCCAAAGCCCAGCAGGATGTCGAGGTGACCGAGCCCAGACCACGATGCAACCACGGGGAACTGTGCAAACTGGTAAGAGGAGCGCTGGTGTCTCGTTTCTCCTGGCGCAGGGCGAGGCACACCGGTCACCTACCGAGCACTCATCGGTGGGTCGTTTCACCAAGGGTGTCCGGTCATTCACTTGGCCAAGTGAAGTGTCAGCCAAAGCCCAGCAGGATGTCGAGGTGACCGAGCCCAGACCACGATGCAACCACGGGGAACTGTGCAAACTGGTAAGAGGAGCGCTGGTGTCTCGTTTCTCCTGGCGCAGGGCGAGGCACACCGGTCACCTACCGAGCACTCATCGGTGGGTCGTTTCAAAACTTCTGAGCGAGCGCAGACCCAGGGCCCTGCACGCAGCGGACCGGGCTGGTTTGGCACTTTCTGAGCCGTTGTCCTTTGTACCATCAACCATGGCTCTACGTTTTGCCTGCCGTGGGAACCAGGAGGGCAAACTGGGGATGCTGGCAACCTGAGTGGCAACCCCTGGGTGGTGTGCGACCCCCGGCTGCTCTCAAGCAGCAGGAAGCAAGGCAGAGTGCAGCATTTAAAGAGTTAAAGACTAATAGAAGGAAACGAAATGTCCTATCTTTCTTTCTAAAGACAAGTGAAGGAAGTTGCTCCA